ATAGCTCGCTGAGCGACCTTGAGCTTCCTCATACGGCCAGCAGTGAAGGACCACGTCTCAGTTCCATAAGTCATTACTGGCAACACGCACTGGTTGTACAATTTCGTTTTCAGGTTTTGAGGTATGTCTGACGAGAAGATGTGTCGTAGCTTCCCGAACGCTGCCCAGCCGAGTTGAATCCGTCGATTGACCTCTCGGTCGAAGTTGGACTTACCTAGTCGGACTATTTGTCCCAGGTAAACATACTCGTCAACAACTTCGAGCTTAGTGTTCCCAACAACTACCGGCATAGGTGTGACATGGACATTAAACATGATCTTTGTTTTGTCCATGTTCATCTTAAGACCTATCCTTTGGGAAACACTATCGAGGTCATTGAGCATAGTGCTTAAGTCCTCCAGCGATTCTGCCATAAGGACTATATCGTCGGCAAATCGAAGGTGAGTGATGTACTCGCCATTGATGTTGATACCGTATCCTTTCCAGTCCAGAAGCTTGAAAACATCTTCCAATGCAGCGGTAAAGAGTTTCGGGGATATGACGTCACCCTGTCTTACACCTCTCTGCAATTGGATAGGTTTCGTACTCTGGTTCTGTACTCGGATAACCATCGTAGCCCTACTGTACAAGCACTTCAACACTTCGATATACCGACAGTCAACTTGGCACCGCTGAAGGGACTGCCGCACCGCCCAAATTTCGACGGAATCAAAGGCTTTCTCATAGTCCACATACGCCAGACATAGTGGCAAATTGTACTCTTCGGACTTCTGAACAATTTGCCGAAGGGTATGTATGTGGTCTATGGTGCTAAAGCCCTTTCGGAAACCGGCTTGTTCGGGAGGCTGGAAGTCGTCAAGTCTGCGCGCGAGACGATTCGTAATGACTCTCGAAAACAGCACGTAGACGCGGCTCAGAAGGGAAATCGGTCTGTAGTTCTTCAAGAGAGCGTTGTCACCTTTCTTGAAGAACAAGACCACCGCACTTCTGCTCCACGCCTCCGGTGTAATGCCACCATGGAGGACGGAATTAAAGAGCTTCTGAAGGACTTCAAGTACCGGTCTTCCACCCGCTTTCAGAAGCTCCGCTGTAATTCCATCCTCGCCTGGGGCCTTACCGTTTTTAAGGTGCTGGAGAGCCATTCTAATCTCGCTCAGACTGACGTCCGGGATATCTTCGGAATAGTGTCGGATGAGACTCGCTCTTGGATCGTTACTCACACTTGCGTGTGGCTCCAACGATGACGTGTACAGCTGCCCATAGAACCTCTCAATCTCACTCAAAATCTCAGGTGTCCCGGAAACGATGCTGCCACACTCTGTCTTCAGCTTTGACAGTTGGCTCTTTCTGGCAGACAGATCTCTGGCAAAGACTTTGGAGCCTTGGTTCCGCTCAATCGCTTCTTCAATACGAGCTGTATTGAAGTTGCGTAAGTCCCGCCGCATGCATTTGGAGATCTGTCTGTTCAGATGCCTGTATGCTGTCAAGTCTGTTGAAGAATGTAGCTTCATCTCCCGTCTAACAGCCATGAGATTAAGAGTGTGATCGGAGAGTTTTTGTGTTCTTCTGCGGCGGGTCTTGCAGAACTTAGCTCCGACCGCATGGACAGTTTCCACGAGCTTGTCATTCATATCGTCCACTTCATTGCAGTCTTCTAGGCACTGAAAACGGTTTTGTAACTCGAGCTGAAAGGTCTCGGGACTTTGGAACAGAGCACGAGGGGGACGGAGCGTTGACTTCATTAGACGAGACCTCTCCAACTTAACGTTTAGGTTCAGTGTGCCTCTAACCATTCGGTGATCGCTACCAGTTTTCACCCTCGCGATCACGGAGACATCACTGAACAGTTGTCGTCTGGTCGTCATAATGAAGTCAATCTCATTTTTTGTCGAACCGTCGGGGCTCGACCAGGTCCACTTCCTGTGGGGCCGCTTCTGGAAGAAAGAGTTCATCATAAAGAGTCCCTCTTTCTCCATGAAGTCGGCCAGCTGCTGGCCCCTTGGGTTCCGTTGCCCTATTCCAAATTTCCCTACTTTCAGCTCACCGTTCTCTCTTGTGCCTAGTTTTGCATTGAAGTCTCCCATTAACACCGTATATTGGGTTTTGGAGGAATGCATGGCTCTAGAGATATCCTCATACATTTCCTCCACCTCCCCATCGGGGTGTGCCGAGGTTGGTGCGTAAACCTGTATGACCTTCAGCGAATACCGTTTGGTGATTCTGAGTATAAGGTACGCAACCCTCGTCGACACACTCCCGATCTTTACAACGTTGTTAACGAGAGACTTGTGGACGATAAATCCGACACCTCCTTGGGACAGATGGTCGCCCTCCCGGTGATAGAGCAAGTTGCCGGATTCGAGGATTACCGTGTCCTCCCCCTCTCTTCGGACTTCGGATAATCCTATAATATGCCAGCGCAACTTGTCTATCTCTTCTTCCAGCTCCACGATCTTCTCGTCAGTCCTCAGGGTGCGTGCGTTGTACGTTGCCAGGTCGAGTCGTCTAAGGTGGCAACCGAACCTCCACCGGAGATTCTTAGCACCCCCTGCCCCGCCGTTACCATGGTCGCCACCGTAGCCAGGAATAGCGGGGCCGCCGGGGACTGGGGGCCGTCTCTTAGTAACTTTATTCATTTGGGGGGTATTAGCCATAGTTGCCACGCTTGGCGAGCGGGTTGGCAACCGCAGTTTTTTTTTTTTATTGTCTGGCTATTATCAGGAAGATGCTGCTGCCCATCTCCTGCCTGTTTCCCTTTGTCGCCTTTTACGACACCCACGGGAGGATATGGGGTAGTGGTATTCTTGACCGCCACTACACGGCAGACCGCCACTACACGGCAGTATTACTATTATATTATGGTATTATTAGGTACGAAAGAGAAAGCTATAAATAACTGGTGTGGAAGCGAGATAGATTATTGTATATTGTATAAGTAGATTTAAGAGAGAAAGAATAATACTAAGTGTAATGGCAAAATGTGTTTAATTTAATTTCTCACGTGTTTTGTTCCAGGGATGTGGAGTCTGCGCCAATTTAATTTCTTTAATATACTTAATATAATTGTTAATATTATTGGATTAAAAATAAAATATAAAACAGTACTGCATCGCCATTTATTTACGCATGCCTAACTAAATAACAAAAGATGAAATTAATTGTAAGGAATGAAAGGAAAATGAAATGTAGCAGAAGTAAATATTTTATTTCCATAAATTTACTTGGGAGAGGTCTATATCTAGCTTACTCTTTTATTTACTATAATAAGTACTATAATGTGGTTCAGACTCAGCTTCGGTCACAGCGGCGAGTCTTATCGGAAACTGACCATCTTTGTAGGACAGGATTATTAATGCACGAATGTTTGCACTCTCTATTCTCGAGCTATCTTCTATTCGAAGAGCACATGATGTAGAGGACAAACAAGGTTTAAAAGCCAAAATGTGCTTAGTTATTTTAATAAATTAAAAAAAAATCTCATTTTGAAGTTATTTTTTCCTAATGTTTTTGATAATATAAACCTGATTTGTGGGGGGAGAGAGTTGGGGGAGGGTAGCCCAACGCCACTCAACGTGGCGCAGTTGAGGGAAGACCAGACCGACCGTCTGGATGGTTTATAAAAAAATAACCACGAAGGGGATGGAAGGGTCTGTTCGCTCGCTTCGCTCGATCACTCGACCCCGCCATCCCCTTCTAACCTAACCTGTCCAAGTCGGGGTGCCCCAAGTCCCAAATAAAACACCAAATAAAACACCAAAATGTTAACTTCCACCATTTCCAAAAACGTCGTAAAATCGCAAGCAATCGGTCTCCAGAGGGGTAGCGAAGTCGTCCAAAAACAGGAGGCAGATAATAACAATAAGGAGCACATTCACGTTAACTCGGAAGCAAGGGACGCTTATGACGCGAGTCGCGAAGTCGAGTCTAAACATAGTGATAATATTCTCTTTGGTCGAGTATATCTGTTACTTATTACTGTCAATGTAAAAAGTTCCGTTTCAGGTATTAATTAGTGATTTATAAATATTTTTAGAAAATTATATTAAATATTTCGACGCAGCTCCGACAGCTAAAACTTCATCAGGACCCTTGAGATAAGCCCCCTTGACCCCTCACAGTAACAGACTCCTCAAATTCAGGCGACTTGATTCTAAACCCAACCCCAAATATAATGTATGGTGGAATTGTTTCTCCTAAATAGTTCTACAAAAAAGTCTTTTATGTGTAAGCCATTATTACCAAAATAGTGAAGCATAAATACAATAAAATTCGATACCTTATTTCCAATGCACATTTTGTAGTAACAAATTGATTTTATCAAAATAAATACTTTGATAGCTTTTAAAATTCAAAGTAGATAAACTTTGTCTTTTAAACTACGTAATTTGGCCGAATATTTTAAAAGTAACGACGATATAAAATTGTGCGGTCCTGCGCGCGCAGGGTGGTCTGGCGTACTGCGGGCGAGGTGGGGGAATTTACTATAAAAATGCAATTATTGATGGGTCTCCTATGGTTTAAAGTGTAATATCTAACTAGTACCTAATATCTAACCGACCGATTTCGTCACACAATATTAACAATTACAAGTGTTTAGCTAAATCATACAATTAAGCTCGAGATTCACCAAGTGACAACAATCATATGTGTAAATTATAATTATATATTAATTAGTAGTACAAGTAAATTTAATCACTTACCTTGAAGCTGTCTGCTGTCTAATAATCAGGTATGACAGAAGAAAGTTTTCGAGTAGTAGGTAAATAGGTAATTACTTTAAAATTTTGAAACCAGAGAAGGTAAACTTGAGAACTATTTTCATATTAGAATAGATTTAAGTAGTTCAAACTTTTCAACAAAGTGGGAAGAGTTAATTGCTGCTAATCGTATATTGTTTTAATTGTAGCTCAATTACTTTGTAGTTGGTATAAAAAGGACAATTTACAACAGTTCCTATTGCAATATTCATTTCATTTAGAGTGATTGCTTCTTACAATAAAATGATGAAGAAATCGTGCGAGAAGAATTTAGAAACGTTAAACATAGAAACTATTGGGAATTACACGCATTTCTTAGAACTACCGTTAAAATTCGTCGGATGCTGGGACTGGTTTAGAAAACCTAAGCGAGAATACGAAATAATCGCTAATCATGTTTACTTGTCCTTGGTGCTATTTGTGCTTGCAAATCTACCGATTTCTCTAATTGTCCATTTGCAAACTGAATGGGTTGACATCATGCACAGCTTAAACGAAATAGCTGACGGGCTGCCGTCGGTTGCCTCCGTCGCTATTGTGGCGTACTTTGCACTTTACAAGAAGGAGTTGTACGAGCTGATCAATTATACGAACGGTAACTTCAAATGCCACTCGGCTAGAGGCCTGACCAATATGACAATGCTAAAGAGTTACAGAGCCGCAAGGAACTTCGCTTTCTTCTACACTGCTTGCACGTTGTTTAGTGTGACGATGTATGTTATTTTGCCAGTGATCGTACATCGTAAGTATTTTTTTTTTAATATCAATAGGCTGAAAACTTTGCGTCGATTTTAATAAGTGATAAAATTGACGAGTTTAAAGATAAATATTGTTTTTTGAGAGCATCCTATTGATTACTGGTAGTCAGCCTTCTTTTCTGCTTAGAAGTCCGCTGGGTCCATTCTCTTTTCTCTATCTCTTCCTTCTTCTCACTTACTTTTGCCGTCAAATAGTAGTGCTTGCACTGCTGTGTTTTCGCCTGAAAGGCTATATAAAACCAGTATAATAACAGGCCGTGACCCGTGAGGCGTTCCATCTTAATTTTTGGAGAGGAAAAAGCATCTGTAGCCTTATTTGTTTGAAGTTGGCTGTAGGTGTAGGTGCTTTTGCCTGTAGATACTTATTAAATTTTTATTCACAACTAACGATACACCCCGGCTTCACACGGGTGATTTCTGGGTATTGACAACAGCTCCACCTGCTGGGTCCAGTTGTGAATCTAAACCATAGAAGAACCTACTCAACACACACAAAAAAGATCATCAGAATCGGTCGAGCCAGTATCGAGTTTTGGGAAACTCACGGACAGCAATTGATTTTTATATATTATAAAAAAAAAAACGTTACCCCCACACTAGGATTTTCTCCTGTATCATGGAGGCAGTTTATAAACATACATTGCACGAGGACCAACATCCAGACCCGGAAGAATTATTTGTAAGCCATACGCGGCACCCAGCGCTACAACTCATTGCTAAGCCACTGCGCCACGGAGCCGTCTTAAATCTTTAACATATTACGTATTTTTATGTACATTAGCTAAGCCCGGGGTGTATTGCATCGCATATATTTTATTTTCATAAATCTTAGCGGGCGCACGCAAAACAACTTATTAAAATTTTTATCAACCCTTTATCTTAGATAAGGGTAGCGGTAACAAGTTGAAATTAATATCAAATACTAAGGTCTAAGGTTCCTTGAAGCCTCCGTGTGAATGAACCATAGACATAAAAGTAAAAGTAAAGTTACAACTTATATATGTTCCACAGCTGGGCACAAGCCTCCTTTCATTTCTGAGAAGGTTTTACGTCAAGGAAATGTCCGCCGCGCTCCCTCAATAAGAGTTAGCGAACTTCACATGTCTTCGAAATATTTTTTGATTTCTCAGACATGTTTCAAGATGTTTTCCATCACGGCCGAGCACGTGGCAAAACAACACTTAAAATTGTAACTAACAATTTCATTGGTGCCGGCGGGGATTTAACTGAGTTAAATTTAGATCAATACGCTAGATGCTTAGTCCCTGAGCCACTACGGCTCCTCACACATAATATTTTGAAAATCGCAAACTTTATGTTCATCTTTCTCATCAACAAGTGGACATGAAAGATGTTCGCCACATCTTTTTTGTCCTCTTGGTTCGCTTGGAACATATTTTTCCACTGCTTAAGTTTGTCCTTAAATCCGACTTAAGTTTATACAGCATTCCTCAGGACGCGAGTATATTCTCACTTGTCCTGTTTTTATTTATTAAATTGTAAGGAGTATGATAGAATGCCCACATGCTGTAATTTTACTGGCTCTCGTATATTTAAAATCGCGAAAAATCAGTAAGTGCATTGCTGCTTGTCGTCACAAACATTTAAGTGGGTATTTTACAGACGACCCCCGAGCATATTGATTAACATACAAATACAATTGAAGTGTCTGTCTGTAATATTGAAATAGCTGGCTTTTATTTAGCTCAGTGGATTTTTTGTCATAAACAAGAGTACTGCAGAGATTAGTCAACGAGCATATTAATGCATTAATTGATTACAGCAAAGTCTATTGCTGTACATGGGCTTCTCCATAGATTGCCTCATAGGGGGATATTTGCCTTAGTTTCCAAGCTTGGCTTTTCTATTTTGTAGATTGTTATTGGCAACACGCTGCTGTTCATCCCCTGGTTTGTTTACCTCTATGCATTTTACCACACCCACGGAATAATATAACTCATTCATGCGTAGATAAATGATGGTGAAAGAAGCTAGAGCGGTGTACGCATCGTGCCAAATAAAATCCAGTAATTTCTATGTAGTATGGTATTAATAATGTTATCAATATTTTAGTGTGGACGAAGCAGCCGCTGCAACCGTGGGTCTATACAGATGTTACAAGGACAACATTCATTGTGTTTGTATTTCTAAGACAATGTCTGGCGCAGGCCTTCGTTGGGCTGGCTATGGGGCAGCTAGGTGAAATATATTTAATATCAGTAAAGTCTTATGTCTATGACATTAGGATAAGTAATATATTTATTTAAGTGTATTAGTAATCATAAGAAAGCTAAAACTAAAACTTAAATAATTACTCCCCGCTTTATAGTGCTGAGAACGCACACGCAGGTTGCGTTAATGGCTATAGTTTTCTTTGTAGAATGAGTGTGATAAATGAGCAGATAGTGCACCTGATGAAGACATCTACATCTATTAAGATTACCGATTAAGGATCAAAATGGCGATGCATTGTCGTCCCTGAAGACTAAGATGGAATGCCTCGTTTCCAGTAAAAAGGGTATCCGGTTCTCTACACTCGCCACACGAAACTCGTGGCGTGGTCCTACGCCGGTCGAGTCAACCTATTCGTGCTATAACCATAATATAGTTGCTGGGTGGCTCTACTACGTATACCTAAAACTACTTGCTACGACTGCAACACCAGCGGAGTTGCAGGTGCGTTGCCGGCCTTTTAAAAGACAGTAAACTCGTTTCTTGGAGGTCCCTAAGTCGTACCGGTATTCATAGACATTTCCCCAAATAAAAAAGACTTTAAAGATACGACCATAACATGTAGTCGTTTAATATGACTGACTAATCGCAGGTATATTCTTCGCGTCCAACGCCATACTTCTGTGCGGGCAACTGGACCTGCTGTGCTGCAGTCTACGCAACGCACGCTACACCGCCCTGCTGCATAATGGCGTACAGCATTCTGCATTGCTGGCTGCCCATAAAGACTTGCTAGAAGATGAGCGACATAATTACATGTATAACACGTCCGAAATGAGGGATTCCAATTACCATTATGATGATAAATTGGTGCGTGTACTCATAATTATTATTTTTAATAAAAGTATGGGTGACAGATGAGAACACAGACCACCCGATGCTAAGTCGATGATGTATACCATTCACATATCTATTCTCGATTAAGAATCAAAAGCAGATGTGTTATTACGCGTATAAGGATTGAGATGGAAGTGGAACTCCTGGTCACTAGTATATGGGTAATGGGTTTTCGGTGCTCTATAATTACGGGTGAAAATAAACTTGCAGCATAAGGTAGCGTTATGCTAAAAGTTTTTGGTATTCTGGTAAGTTTCCTGGTTGACTCGATTCGTGGTGTAACCACAGCTGCAGCGTGATCCTTCCAGGATAAATTAAATATAAGTAAATTTTAAAAATAGTTAAGTATAAGAATCCATCACTCCATTTCATTATGTGGGTGTCGTACGGGTTTAAGAAAATAGGAAGATATCTCTTAAATATTGTAATTACATAATTATATCTAAATAAATAATACAATACGCGAAACGAAAATAAGCACTCATTACGAATAGTTATAAGTCGTGTGAGTTATACAGGGTTATTTTTTAAAGAGTAGCCAAATTTTAAACCTAAATTCAAATATATAAATAATGATATACTGTTATTGCAGTTTTTGAAAATAAATAAGGCTTCTACTTTTATTTTCAATTATCCCAAATTGAATGTGATTTATGGACAACAACGTTTTTGCCTACCGATCGACCATTGAAAATGTGTGCGTGCACAGTAAAATCAGTTAAAATAATACATTACCATGCATTTCGAATTTAAAAGATAAAAATGACAGAATTTTTGAGATTTTTTTTTAATCAAGTTTTCTTCACCATTATACATATTACTTATTTTCAACCTTCTGCTGCAATTTTGGCCGGTTATTGCAAAATAACCCTGTATAAGTGATCATATATCATTGATCTCGCAGTTTTTGTAAATACGTAATACTTACCTACGTAATCACAATTTTTTATACGTTGATTACATTATTCATTACATCTATGAGAAGGTCGATGTTCGACTTTCCCATAAATGGCCCCAAAACTCTCAGAAATAAAAGGTGGCCTGTGCCCAGCAGTGGGACGTATAAAGGCTGTAAGTTAACGTGTTAACATAGGATAATGTAAGCTGTCTTAATATAAATTATGTAAACTTTTTCAGCGACATTTTATCGGACATAAAACAAGCTACAGTAAGTACTACAACATAATATTATTGTTTCTAAGCTATTTCCTGTTGGGTCGGTACAAGAGCGACGCAAAATACGCTCGACATCTCAGAATAGTAATTATAGCACAGTATTCTGAGACTCGACACAATGTGTTGGATGTCAAGCGCGTATTAAAGTAAAGGAAACTTAGACAAGAAAGTCTTAAGTTTCACCTTTAGTTTTATAAAAAAAAAATTGCTATATATAACAGTTTTTTTTTTATAAAACTGTAGTGATTTACAAACTTACAACCCACCTGATGATAACTGGGAACTGCAGTGCATAGGCACCTGCAGTCAACTTCAACAAAAAAGGCCAAAGGTGTGTTGTCACCTCATGTTACTAAGATGGAATACCACATAGCCTAATCATACTAGCTCTATATATCTATAACCTTCAGACCATGTTATTTGGCGACAGAAATAGGTAAAAGGGTGGAATACTACCACCTACTTAGTTTATTGTTATGTAAACATAATTTAAAATTAAAAATTTTGTACAACTTCAATATAAATTATTAAGAATAACTCAAAAACTATTATCAAATTTGATAAAATTTATATCGGACCACAAGAGAAGCACCAGCTTTCAAATAAAAAAGGAATCATCGAAATCGGTTCACCCAGAAAAAAGTTATGACGTAACACACATAAAAAACATACATTCCAATTGAGTACCTCCTCCTTTTTGAAGTCGGCAGAAAATCCTCTAGAACTGTGCTCACTAATCAAAAAAAAATTAATGTGTTTTTAACGCCTTTATGTTTGAGTTATTGATATAATATTTAGCCTTTTCACAGCTAATTAATTATTAGCGTTATCTAGGTTTTGTGATTTGGAGAGAAAATAAACTTGCACTTTATGTTTACAAAAGGTATGTAATTTTAAAGGTATAATATGTTAATGTGATGTATTTTTTAATACATGGTAGAGCCATGCTGCAGCTATATTAGTAGTAATAGCATGAATTGGTGGATCGATCGGTGAAGGACCTCACGCTCTCACAGCTTAATGCTGTTGCTTCGTATGGTGGGTGTAGAGAACCCCTTTTTACTGAAAACGAAAAGTTTGTCAGTTTTTTTATACTTTACTAATTGTACCCGGCACTGGTTAAATTTCCCCTGTTTCTAAAGTATTTGTTCGTGCGGGATTTGAATCCACAGTCCATCGGCTCTACGACCAAAATTTGTTTTAAAAATAAGCTTGAAAAACGTGTCCACAGTCCAACTGACGGTAAGTTGATGCTAACCTATTTACACGTACATAATATATCTTCCATTAAGAACCAATATGTAGACGCGTTAACCGAAGACTAAGATAGACTGCCTCGTTATCATTGAAAGGGGTTCTCAACACTTACCATACAAAACACAGCAGCATTAAGCTATTTTATACTGGTTCTCTTTGAGCGCGTGCACCTTCCCCGGTCGAGCCGACCCGTTCATGCTGCAACCGTGATGTAGCTGCAGCGTAGCTCTACCACGTTAATAATTAACATAAACAACCACAGCTCTACCTAACCTTCATAGTAACTATCGGTATACATCGGGAGTTGTCGCGATCGGGAATACATCATCGGACAAATGTATTCCTTGCAGATATTATATACGACCCAGCTTACGATGTTACCGAAGCGAAATTAAATAAACTTGAGCGAATTGAAAATTTATGCTAACGATTCATATTTGGTAAATATTTACACACTTTAGAATATAGTAAACGTTTTAAGTCAAATAGAATATAACCGCTACGTTTAAGTGGCTGCCGTTTCGCCTTCGTAGGAATACTCACATCCTTTCTGCTTTATACTTCAAACATGCTGTTCAATCTCTCCACATCACGCTACCTGAAAGATCTCTCTGAGTTCATCTCTTCTCTCATCTCTCATCCTCTCACGGTCGTCATGTACGTTCCACTAACAATCTTTTCGTTACAACCCAACACATTCATCGTCATTCTTCAAGAAATCATTCTCGGTTACAGCTGTACGCTTGTGGAACTCCTTGCCTTTATATATTCGACGTACGCCGTCTTTTTTTCCTTCAAAAATCTACTTGAAGCTCTAACATTTCCAATCAAACTTCCCGATCTAAATCATATCTATCATAAGTAATCCTCAACTGGCATCATCTTGTGTTTTCATGTTTATTTTATTTCATTCTTTTACATAACAGTCTTATTTATGTAGGTACTCCTTATTCGTCATTCGTTGTAAACAACAGTTCTTGGCGCAAAAAGGTTGTCTTGAAGAAATCGCTTCCATTTTTTTTTTGTTTTAATGTGTATTGGTGTACAACAGGTATGGGCAATCATTGACATGTTGAGGGCCAAACTTTAGCGTGCAAATACGTTCGCGCGCCGCGTTTAATAGTACTTAGTGCATTTTAAGTAGTGATAATATTTTTTGATATTTTCTTTATAAGATTTTTAGATATTAGACATGAAATAAGACGACAATGTTATTATAGTACAATTTATTAAAATAACAAAATGAAATTTAATAAAATGGTACATTATAATTAAATCGTTAAATTTGCAATTGCTACAAACTACGAAAGTTAAATACAACGAAATCAATGAGACACTTGAGTTTGAATTTGGGAAACTAATCCATCTTGAATGAACAAATAATATTTGGATTAATTCCACAACAATTTGGAAAATTTGTTGATACAAAGACGTAAAGAATTTTCCAAATTATCGTCAGTCAGTCTTGTACGATGTGTTGATTCATTAACTTTCATCAATGAAAAGAACTGTTCGCATATATAAGTACTGCCAAACGCACAAATCAATCTTCTTGCGAATTTTCTAAGCTGCGGAAAATTGTCTTTTTCTAAGTAATTTCTGTAGAATTCGCACAACTCTACGTCTTCAAATTTGGATTTTAGGAGTGATTTTTCTTGAATCTCGATCAACTCCATTTGTCCAAATAGTGTATTGGAGCATTTTGTACATTATATTTTGTAGGAGTAGCAAATAAATTCAAACAGTCTTCCATGTTTTTGAAGTCGCTAAATCTGTTCGAAAATTGTTCCGACAGTAACTTGAGTTCTTCAGCATATTGAGCATAAGCAATATTTTCATACGCAGAGAGCGTGTTGAAATGGTAACTGCTACCAGACAGCATCTGTGACTCCCACAAGCGTAGTTTGATCTGAAACGCTTTCAAATGGCTGTACAAATCATTTACTAACTGTCCTTGTTCTTGAAGTTTCAAATTTAAATCATTCAAATAGTCTGTAAGATCGACCAGAAATGCCAAGTCAGATATCCATTTTGGGTCACTGAATTCAGGTAGTGGTTTATCTTTTATTTTCATAAAGTCTGCTATCTCATTTCTAAGCTCGTAAAACCGTTTCAACATTTTTCTTTTGCTCAGCCATCTGACTTTACAATAACATGTTACGTCGTTATATTCAGCTGATATTTCATCCAAAAACGTCTTAAACTGGCGATGGTTAAGCCCTCGGGATCGAATAAAGTTGATGGTTTTTACTACTACATTCATAACATTCTGGAGTCGAATGGACTTAGAACACAAGTTCTGTTGGTGGATAATGCAATGAAGGACTATTAAATCATCTTTTTGTACATTTAATTCTAATTAATAGAATCAGGTGTTACTTTGCGGAAGTTCATTATATTAAATTTGACAAAAAATTACTTTGCGTACATCCGCTAGATAAAATAACTTATGAGTCTTAGCGGTTAGCCACCGTAAAGTCTATATCACCTGAAGATGTCTCGTGTAGAGCCGAAACACGTATCGTATTGTCGTCAGTGGTGTGTCTTTCCTAGTGTAGTAGTGTTGGGAGTAGTGGTGCTGGTATTAGTGGTGACGGGGATAGTGCACGCAATTGAGGGAGGGCGGGAGGTGCTCATCAAACTAGGTAAGCCACATCATTTTATTTTATCTAGCGGATGTACGCAAAGTAATTTTTTGTCAAATTTAACATTTAATTCTGTTGCTTTTTCATTAAAAATTCCGATGAAACCTTTACGTAAGCCGACCATAGAAGTCACCATAAGTGCATACTCAAATTAATTTTGACCATGGCAAGCCAAAACTTGTGAATACCTCTTGAACTTCAATAAAAATATCCTCTCCTGTAGTGGTTCCTTTTAGCGGCTGTAAAGCAAGCAATTCCTCAGTAACAGTGAACTCCTTATCAACACCTCGAATAAATATAGCCGGTTGAGCTGTGTCAGACAAATCGTTGCCCTCGTCTAATGCTATGGAAAATGATTCAAAACCAGCCATACGGTCAGTCAATGTTGTTTTGATATCATTAGCTATCATTTCTATACGTCGAACAACAGTTCGTCTTGACAAACTAATTTTTTCAAATTCATTTTTCTTTTTAAGACACAAAATACCGCAAACTTCTAACATACACTCCTCGATAAATTCTCCTTCGGCAAATTATTTTAATGCCTTTGCCAACTTTGAGCTAAGTATAAAACTAGCTTTCACAACATTATCAAGTTGTGTTCTTTGTTTATGAAACATATTATGTTACTGTTTTTCCAAATTTGCGGATTTCGGATTCTGCTTCTGGATTTTTTCTGTTCTTAATTGTGCTGTCAGTGAGTGCAGCGTAGCATGCTTAGTTGAGTAATGCCTCTCTATATTGAATTCTTTCATTACTGAAATGGATTCATTACACAGCAAACAAATAGGCTTACCATTGTGCAAAATAAAAAAGAATTCGTCAGTCCATTTTTCTTGAAACTGGCGACCCTCTGTATCTACTTTTCGTTTCTTTCCACCAGACATCATTTTGTTTACTTTTCGTTCAATAAATTTAATAACAAACTATAGTTAGTACTCGTAACCACTCAAGATGCACACAACGTCACAAAGCATGTTGACGGCTCGAGCAGTTCGCTAGGATATCGTTTGTCCAAGTTATCACCTCGGTAGCTCAAATAGAACTGAACTAACGTTCGGGCCATCCACCCGCTTATATAGGCAAAATGTAGGAATAATCTAGTTAAGAATAATTGAGAAGCAATAAATCTTTTGATGTGTCGCTCGTGAGACGGCAAACCTGAAAGAATTTGATCGAGCAAGCCGAGTGGCGGCGATTATCAGTGTGAGGCGGCAAACCTCAAATCCCTTGACTGATCCTCACTGTCACTCCCGTGAGGTTTTTTCAAAACGTCTCGCGGGCCGGATCATATCTTACAGCGGGCCGGTTGTTGCCTATATATTGTGTACAATATAGAATATATTGATTGATTGATTTACCACAGCGCTACTGATCCGTCATAGTGGATATCACACACATTATTTTGATTGTCACAGAACCACAGCTTAAAATTTATCCCTTGCAGATATATACAACCCAGCTTACGATGCGGATACAAGTGCGGCGTTACATGAGTGCGCTCGTATGTGTCAGGTCATTAACGAATATAAGATGAAATTTGAGGCTTTCGTCTCGCCTCTGCTCGTGCTGAGGGTCGTGCAAGTCACTCTGTATCTATGTATGTTACTGTACGCGGCTACAGAGGTGAGTTGTTTTGATTATTAAAGAAGAGGAAACAAGTGGATACCAACCTGATAGAATATACGTCTTCGGCACTGCAAATGTATTACGGCTGCAGCACGAATATAGGTCGGCTCAACCGTACTTGCGTGGTAGAGCTATGCTGCAGCTATATAAAAAGGCACGAATGGGTCGGCTCGACCGGGGTAGCATCACGCTTCCACAGAATATCAACGTAAAATAGCAGCATAGCAGCTCAATGCTGCTGTGTTTCGCATGGTGAGCGTAAACAACCGGACGCCCTTTTTACTGGAAACGAGGCATTCCATCTTAGTCTTCAAGGGTGACAACGCATTTGCATTTTGATTCTCAATCGAGGATAGATGTAGATGTCTATGGGCCACAGCATCCACTTACCATCAGGTGGACTGAATGTTCGTTTGTCACCCTCATTCTATCAAACAAACTACCATCGTATAAGAGATCAGCTATAAATTCACACAGGTTCCACGTTTGGTAGATTGACAACTGTAGGATATATGTTAAACTGCATGGCTCGGGGGCTAAGCTTCTGTCTTAAATTGCACATTAAATTGTTATTTGCAATATAAAATTTTAAGTGCTGCTTTATGCATATGACACCTTCAAATATGAGGAATAAAATATTTCAGGATATGTTAAGTAAGCCTACATGCACTGGACCAGCGCGGCGAACTAATTGCTCTATCATTCCCCAGGGATGAGAGGAGGCCTGTACCCAACGATGGGACTGTAATTTTACGTTTTACTATTATATGTATATGACAATATGATGTAGATAGGTATATATCTTCCGGAGACGAGTTGGCAACCAGAGTAACGGATGTCTTTTTCATAAAACTAGAGACAAACGACCTTTCAGTTCATCTAATGGTAAGTGGCTACAGTCCATGGACATACAGCCAGCTTTAAAAAAAGAACGCTACGGATGCGTTATCACTTCTAAGGCTAGGATGTAATTTTCCAGTCTACATTATATCGGTCCTATACCCTACAGACCGGAGCATAACGCTGCAGGCATTGCTATTTGGCGTCAGATATAGGTAATATTGTGGCAGAACTATGAAAGAGGGAGGCACATACCTAGACAAACTCTTAGAAAAGTCATTCCACCTATTATGCACTTTTAACGACTTCACCCCCCCCCCCCCCTTTTATCCCACCTTTGCGGTCTTGGTGGCCCTTTTACGTCTGGCGTAATTATAATGGTTTAACCATCAACTACACTATCAAAAGCCTTGAGATCTTTTCTGCCAACTTCCAAAAAGGAGACGTTACTCAATTTGACTGTATTTTTTTATGTGTGTTACCTCATAACTTTTTACTGGGTGAACCGATTTCGATGATTCTTTTTTATTTGAAAGCTGGTACTTCTCTTGTGGTCCCATATGAAATTGATCCAGGTCAGACCAATAGTTTTTGAGTTATTCTTAATAACTTATATTGAAGTCGGCTGTACAAAATTTTTAATTTTAAAATTATCGCTACTCATACCCCGTTTCATTTGTACACTAAAACGTAACTTACTCTATCAATTCTTATCATATTTATAAGGCTTAAAATTTGCTTTTAAATCAATATGTTTCAGAAATTCGATATGGTAACCGTGGAGTACCTCGCTGCAGTGGCTTTGGATATATTCGTTTATTGCTATTATGGCAGTCAAATTATTTTACAGGTATGTTAACTATCGGTCAGAGATGATCGGTTTAAATACATGTTCGATGGGTACACAAAACTATATAAGTAATATGTATACATAATAATATAAAGCAATGATCTTATTCTCCTTCATTAGCCCGTAATACAGTCCACTTCTGAACGTGAGCTTCACCTGTTGTAGGAAACATTTGTCTTGAAAATCACGCTTGTCAGAAGAATTGACGATCGTGGTACCGTTACCGTCACAGAATATTAAAGTCCACTGCTGAACATATAGGCCTCCCCATAGATCGCCTCATAGGGGGGATATTTGCCATAGTTGCCACGCTTGGCAACCGCAGTTTTACGAAGACGCTGCTGCCAATCTCATGATTTTTTTACCTCTGTAGCCTATTACGAAACCCACGGGACGATAAGGGGTAGTGGATATTCTTACACCACCATTACACGATAAGACCGTAGTAGAGATCGTCTAATTTAAAACTGCAAGCGTTCCCGTGGCCCTGGCAATATGCGGCGAAGGTGGAACACCATGGGTTTTTTTAGTCGGCGCGAGTCCGATAGAACCCGTACTTGCCCCCGCGAGGCGTGTATGCGTAGGCATTTCCCCATGTAAAAAAAGGCATACGACAACAATGTTATACCCACTGTACATGGACCCACGGACACTGGATCCACTGCACTGTAGGTAGTATAAGCTGTGCCGTTGATAACCTACGTCGAGATTAATACTAAATTGTCCCCGTAGAATTGTAAAGAAAATAAGTATGTAATAAAATATAATGATGTGTCTTACCTAGTTTGAAGAGCACCTTCCGCCCTCCCTCATTATTGCGTGCACTAATGCACCGCCGCGCCGTTCACTTAGCGGTCAGCCATCGCAGACTATTTCACTTGATGATGCCTTGTTTAGAGGTGAAAAGAGGTGTTTTATTATCGACGGCGGTGTGTCTTTTCTAGTGTGATGGTGTTGGGAGTAGTGGTGACGGGGATACTGCATGCAATTGAGGAAGGGCTGGAGGTGTTCCTCAAACTAGGTATTCGTAACAGTCCAGGAGAAATCGGCGCATGAGTACCGCAAACTATTCCACCTCAATTTTTTTATGCAATTCTTTTTAAATTGTTCTACTGATGATATAAATGCATGTTGCCTAGGGCAACTCGGTGCCATATTTTTTAAACCATTTTTTCACCGATTCCTGCACTATAAGACACATCATTTAATTTTACTCGTATTACGCGAATCTTAGTAATTCATTTTGAACATCTTTAACATGATAAAGAAAATGTTTGGTTTTAGGCAGATCGTGTGTCTACAGCGGCGTACCAGAGCTCTTGGCATACGATGGGTCCACGTCCAAGGAGGCTGTTGCTCAATATCCTCTTATCTAACCGGAGACCGGTCGTAGTCCGTGCCGGAAAATTTTTGCCCATGGATCTGCACACTTTTGTAGTTGTACGTAATTAATATAGTAAGTCCGTGTAGTGGTTGCGTAAGAATCTACTACCCAATATCATCCCATGAGCTTCCTAAGAGACGACAGAGAGAAATGGAACAGAAGATGGACAGTAGCGTCTTCCTGATAACAGCTGAATAATGAAAACTGCGATTGTTAACCTGCTTGCGAAACTTGACAAATATACCTGTGAGACAGACTATGCGGGAGACATATTCGGCTGTGGATTTTGATAGGCTGTGATGAATGAATGATGAAGAAAGCCACGCGGCAGCGAATAATGGCTGCAGCACGAATGGATCTACTCGACCTGGGAAGGACCACGGTCACACAATACGATCGTTAAATAGAAAAATATTAATGCTAATGTGTAAACCGTTGAACCAAAAGTTGGACTTGCCTAGTCATGCTATTTGTCCCAGGTAAACAACATACTCGTCAACAACTTCGAGCTTAGTGCTCCCAACAACTACAGGCACAGGTGTGACATGGACGTTACACATGATCTTTGTTTTGACCATGTTCATCTTAAGGCCTATCCGTTGTGAGGCACTATTGAGGTTGTTGAGCATAGTGCTTAGGTCCTCTAGCGAATCTGCCATAATAACTATATCGTCGGCAAATCGAAGTTGAGTGATGTATTCGTCATCGATGTTAATACCGTAACTGCCACTGAAGTTCGTTGTCTGCCTGGGTGTTAGAACCTCAATATATGTCTGCCATGCAAAATATATATTGTGCCAAATAATATTATCAACAACGTAAATAAATTGCAGCTTTATTGAAATAACGTAAATTATAAAGAAAAAAATTGTACTTGTCAACCTATCTGCGATGACCTTGGAACCGCCATAGGTGTCTACAAATGTAATTTTTCGGTAACTTTTATTGAATATTTCAAGATGTCAAAGCGGCAGACTTATTACTTTCACGTTTTTCATCTGTCATTTTTTTACACCTTTCACACCTGAGCGTCTATATAAACCACTGGTCAAACTAGTCCCCATTTCGTGTACCTCATCAGGTATAGGGGATTAACTGAAGAAAAAAAACGTGAAACTTATTGAAATACCGTAAGTCTGCCGCTTTCTGACTCTTAGACCAAATATAAAATTAGTACAATAAACTGTGTATTTTCATTTCTTGGTGAAGGTCTGTGGTATATCACAGAGAACTAGATCTGGGTTTAAGAACAGGTTTTTCTTTTATTTTGTTAATAAAGAGAAAAAGTATTTCTACTTTTTCGAAGTTCCTAATATTAAAAAAAATGACGTCTGCCAAAGATCTCAGATTTAATCAGTATTTCTTATTACAGATTATCAAGACTTCATTCTCTTATTATACACTGCTGGTGAACGTTAACGAGAAGGGCGAAAGGAAATAAAAATAATATTCTAAGTTATATTGTCATATATGTTGCTCAATTGAGACTTGTTGCAAATTTCATTAAAGATGCAATAATGAAGTTTACGAAATTGAAATATATTTTGTTTAAATTCAATATAGATTATAAATAATAATTATGCAGTCCTTCTTATGTTTAATTTACTACTGGTTTGGAAAATACCTGTGTCCTGGGAAGAACCAGCAAGAAATCTAGGGGTACATATTAATAAAAAAGAAGTTTACAATCATTTAAATTGTTACTTTAATGATTGTAAACTTCTTTCTTTCTTTCAGCCTATATACGTCCCACTGCTGGGCACAAGCCTCCTCTCATTTCTGAGGGTTTTAAGGCAAAGACATGTCCGCCGCTGCCCCCATGCGTGTTGGCGAACTTCACATGTTTTCGAAATACTTTTTTATTTCTCAAACATGCAGGTTTCCTCACGTTTTCCTTCATTGCCGAGCACGTGGTAAATCAGCATTAAAATTGAAATTAACAATTTCATTCATGCCGGCGGGGTTTGAACCAGGCCTGCTCACTGCTGCTACTGTGATCTGTTATTATCTCTATATATAAAAATCAATTGCTGTGCGTTAAGTCTCGCTGAAATTTTTTGTGTGTTTGAATGGGTCCATAGATGGTTTAGATTCACATTTGGATCCGGTAGGTGGCGCTCTTGTCGAGATCCAGAAAACAACCGTGCGAAGCCGGGGCGGATCGCTAGTCATCCACAAATTAAATTACTTAAAAATAATGCTAACACAGCATACTCTTGGTATATAAGCTTTGTAAGTGAAGAGCCGAGCTTGTGTGCGTGTGTTGCGAGACGTTCGTATGAATTTGGATAGGAAGAGCAATAAAAATATACAAATTGTATTCAGAAAGTATTTTATTTACGAAATTAATATACAATTCTCTTGTTCATACAATAAATCATTGATTGATTGAAACAGTTCGGCCATTGGCCTTTGCAGCGGTTCAGTCTAACGCAGAGGCGAACTAAAGTCAACGTGAACGTACGCTTCCCGCGCTCGTCTTATCCAATCTTTTGTTTAAACATTTTGATATACGGTAACACTGTCGGTGGAGGATTCCAATACACAGAGTTCGATCGCTGTGACTGACCAAGTTGTACACATTGACTCTTAAATTAATAATTTATTTAAAGTATGTATATTGATAATAAGTGATTACAAATTAAATATCAAGTTTATATTAGATACAGCCTCAGCTATTTTCTTGTACAAATTTTGTGTCACAAACGACGGACCCGTGTTCAAGCGATTGTAAATTAGTAATATACGCATTACAGGCTGCATAAGACATAAAATCGCACAAAAAGCTTACTACACTTGTCCCTAACGTTCGTCCGACTCGGGAGCGGGACGGAACGAATATTTCTTTCACAATTTTATTATGTCTTCCAAAACCTAGTATTTAAAGTTACGCTTACTACTTATTATAAATGTTTATTCAATTACTTTCGATACATTATCATATTTTAATCCTCAATTCATTAAAACTGCGAAGATGATTTCAATATTGCCTCTTTTTATCCGGTTCGAGAGGACCAACTTTTTTCAACACTATTGGATAATTACAGGCAGTATTGAAATCATATAATTACTTACGTTATCTCTTGAATATCGAATATAACACAAGCGTACAATTAGATCAAACATACGAACATACAAACTCACATAACGCGGCATTCAACATTCTTCCACATTTAGACACGCCCACAGCAAGTCCCCAGAGCCAATACGGTAAAAAATAAAATTATTACATGCAACACAGAGTTGACATCAGGTTTGATGTGGGAGGATAAATTAATTTAAATAACATCTATATTGAGTAAAAGAGGCTGACATATTATGTCATTTACTTTTATTATTAAGTAACACAGTTTCTATTTTTTATTAAAATTAACAGTCTTGCCTTGAAAAAATGGACAAAAAAAGAACATCTCAGATAAAATTATCACCACAGAATTGAATATTTCTGTAATGACAATCGTCGACTTCCGAAATACTTTCCTAGATAAATATTATTGCTATTGTCAAAAACTGCACCATGACTGAAAAAGCTAGTATTCAAACTTGTTTTTCGTTGACTATGCAAGCAATATTGATACAAAAATTAAGCCTTTTAATGCACTTTTTCGGTTGGCATATTATTGTGACCAATGAGGATATCAGAGAGCGGTAGACACAACGCCGTTAACAATAATACTTGATTGCTAATTTCATATTTTAAAATCATACAAAGTGAATGTAGACGTCCATACTAAGTATACATACAGTTAACGAGCAAACTACATTGACGGTGATATGAAAACGACCTACATTTAAATTAATAAAGTTTTAGGAAATAAATTCTCTAACCAATATTATAAATAAGAAAGTGCTTGTTGGTCCTTTCACGTCTAAACGTTGCAATGGATCGCCGTGATTACTTGCACTGAGAAAGTATGAGAACCAGAGTGATATAATAACAGAGGCTGCTTTTAATCCAAACAAAAAGTATTTTCTTTTATCAGGATAATCGTATTGGAATTATTCATAAATCACGAATCAGTCACATTCAGGCCAGGTTTCTTGAATTGAATTCCATTAAAGGGTAAATCGTAGACATGAAAAAATGTGCTGACGTGTGTCTGTGTAAACGTCATTAAATGTGACAACTTTAAATAAACACAAAAATGTTGCTTATTGCTACACCACATAAGGTAGAGATTTGCATATCCCGTCAATACAGTATGCACAGTGTAAAAATGAAGTGTAAAAACTACAGCAGCGTGGGAATCCATGCAAGTCGTCGACGTGGCGGCACACGACACGGGCGACGTTTAACTGTTGGGACAGACACGGGATTAGTTGTAGAACGCGACACGACGTACAACCCGTCCGAAATATCTGCAAGCCTGTGACTTTCCGGCACGAGGGTAAGAAACGCTAGTTAGTGTCCGACCGAAGCTTCGGCTTCTACAAAAAAACCACCTTCGGCGAAACCTTTGGTACGGCCAAAATAGGCCGAAAGTTACTATCAAGCGCTGAAATTAAACGAATAAGCGAGAGCGCGATGAACGTGGCTAAGTAATTTTTATCATCTCTAGATTAACTTCAACAGATGATTAAAATTATCTATTTATGTTAAATAGTCAATATAAACCTTTAAAATAAAAGTTTTAAAATCATTTATATTATTAATTTTAGCCAATCTTGAACTAAAATTCTAAGGATTTTTAAGTCTTCAGCTTCGGCTTCGGTCGAAGGTTGCGGCGACAGCTGATTAGCCGGCTTCGGATAGAAATCGACCTCCGGTCGGACACTAGCTACTGAACGGTACAATAAGAGCAAGGGAGGGAAGCGTTAACAGATATTTCCAACACGTTGTACTTATTTTATGCATGATTTCGAATATATAAATAGATAATAGTGCGCTATTTGAAATTGTTAGCTTTTAAAATGGGCTCATTAAAATTTTATAAAGCGTCACACCTGTAATTCCCGAAAGAGTATGAAGTATAAGGCGTAGCGAACTACTTGGATCATGTTTAACCTAAAATTTTGAAAGAAAGGATAGGTGGCACCTTTCACAACATGCTATGCAAGAAGCACAGTTGGCACATTCTTTTTTGAAAGATTCAACAAGGGTCTATTAAAATTTATGTTCGTAACAAGGACCTTGAGACAGGACATTTAAAGATAAATTCGAAATCATGCGTTTTTAATTACAGAAGAAACAAACACTTAAAATATAATAATATAACAAAACTTGGTTGACACATTCTAAAATGATTAAAAGTAAACCCATTCAAATGATCGAAATCACAGAATTAGATAACAAAGTCTGGTTGAAAGGACCATTCAAGATTCAGTTAGGAAACATAAATTTTTAAAACAATTAAATGCCAGATGTAGAATATAAATAGTTTTAGTAAAATAACACAAATGTCAAGTTGGTACTAGGTATCCATTTTATTTTTAGGGTTATTGAAATAAATTAATATGGTCGATTTTAGATATTAGTAACAAGCGGAACACTTGTTATTCATATTTACCTTACAGCTTTGGCTGCTTTCATATATCTCTGGAGTGTCAAAAATTCGACTAAGTACATATCAGTCATTATTCAGAGTTCAGAGGCTACTTTATTGAAAAAAAAGTTACGCATTTTTCCAAAATACCCATAAAGAATTAAATAATTTTTGATTTTATTTCTTAATAATTCTATCATTTGTTTTTGCATGAAATAATACTATACAAAATACATTGAAGTAATGTGTAGTGCGTACTAGAACAGACACCGCGAACGAAATCTGTGCGGCAGTGCGGGCGGGGGGCACGAGACACAGAGTACGCCAGTGCAGAGGTTGTTATGGCACACACCAAGAAGTTTGAGCGCGCGGCCTCTAACGACTGTTACAAAAAACTAAGTCTCGTCACTTCAAGTACGTAGTACATTTTACTTCAATAACAAAATAATAGAATTTATTGGCAGAAAAATAATTAAATACAATATATTTAATTCAATATTAATACCGTATTACTTATAATAAAACTTACAATTTAATACAATGTATTGTACCATTAACTAGTAATACTAGTGAGTGTTTGTTTAAAATATTACAAGTCATATTCTGGGAGTGACAATTTGTTCACACATTCAATATGTCAATTATCTAAAGTAATTTATCAATATTGATATCAGAGCTATGTTTTTGAGACCATGGAAATGATTTTATAATGAAGTTACAATGTTAATGTGGCCCATCCTATGGGTATCATGTATTATATACATGATATCAGTTTTAATTTCCTACGATCAGGTATTACTTTATAAGTACCTAATTTAAGTTTGTTTAGACCCACTTGTAAACGGAGCCAGATGTTAGTAAATACTTTGATCACTATGGGCATCGTGGTCGTTAGCATTTTCGTATCAAATATAATGATATCAGTGTATAATCCAATTTTTTAACTGTGCACTTGTGTTCCCAGCCTGTCACATTGAAACATTCACTATAATGTGAGTACTTCCTCTCCTCTTCATTAACGCTTATCAGTACGGCAATATTGACTACGTAACGGTCAATTTTTTTTTAAATATAGTGTCAAATGAGTTAATAGTCCATTTGTAGTAAGTATAATTAATGATATACTGTTATTGCAGTTTTTGAAAATACGACTAAATAAGGCTTCTACTTTTATTTGATATTATCCCAAATTTAATGTAATTTAAGGGCAACGTTTTGCCTACCGATTGACTCTTACGAATGTGTGCGTGCACAGTAGAATCAGTTAAAATAATGCATTACCACACATTTTGAATTTAAAAGATACAAAGGACAGAACGCTTGAGGTTTTTTTTTATTAATTTTTCTTCACCATTTGCCTATATTATTTATTCTGAAAGTTCTTTTTTGTGGTTATTGCAAAATAAGCCTGCAGAGTGCCATTGATGTGCTGTCGACCTTGAGGAATTAGATAAAATACCTCACCACAGCCCGTATAAACTGATTCACACCCTTCGCACCGGAATATAGCAGTTTCCTGTTGCTTGGTGGTGGAAGCAGGTGAGTGGGTGAGTGTTATTAAAGACGGGCTCTCTTTTCACTTAGTAAATAGATCATTTAAATTTTTGACATTGTCAGGTGCACAGTTAAAAAACTAACGTATCGTAATATAATTTTGTGTGTATGTAAGTATCTCTCTCTCTCTTTGTGTGCATGCGTGTGTGTGTGTGTGTGTGAGCGACTCACTTCTTCTTGTTCTTGGGCTGTGCGCGAGGCGGAGTGTTGGGGCGGCCCATGTTGAGTCCGGAGTACAGCTTGCGCTTGTCGGCCGGCTTCAGGATCTGGAACGAGCACATCAGCGTCTCGTCCACAGACATTAGCGCACCTGCAACGTACGAACGTTTTGATTATTCGACAATTCTTTAAATAAAAAGTTGAGCCCACGCAAAATGTGGCAAGACCTGAATTGAAGCGTGAGCGTTTGCTGCCTGCGAACAAACGTTTGTTTGAGTTTGTTCGCAAATGTGTCGGCTTTCAAATATATCAATTTTCTTCTTTTTATCAGTAACTGACCGTTGTACATAGATCCAGAAGTCACTCTTATAAGAAGGTTTTGGAGGTTTTTTTGTTTTTTATCTTTAATCTTTGGTCTGTTTATTTTACACTTGCCATTCAAATACGAGTTGATTGCACCGTCATCTATCGGAGGCTATGATATCTTTTGGCGTTATCCTAGTTAATAATTTACGGGAATTAGTACGGAGTATTCTATACAAGAATAGTGTAACTGGTGCTATTAATATAGCTTGAGTCAGTGACGTAGCAATTTATTGAATCGCAAAAATATTTTATTTTACCTTTGTGCTACTATTACGAATTTTATTTGTATACCAGATGTGTCCGCGACTTTGTAAGCATGCAATCTTTGTTAGTACATAATATGTTTGTTTTGAAGTTTAATTCCTTTGAACCTAATTGAGTACATATATTTTAAATAACAGTAATGCAAGTAAAGATATTTATGCTTATAAATTTGTTTATATATTTACCATATAATTCCAAATTCTTTTCCCAATAGACAACTTTTCTAAAGCGGATTTCACTAGTAATATTTAAACTTTTAAGTAAAGAAGTTGCCCCAATGCGTGTTTTTTATTTATCTTAGACTAGTGTTAAATTACTATCACACCGATTGTAAGCTGTAATGTAGACAAGACGGTAAAGCTAACATAACGACGGTAATCCTAACATAGCCGATTCACTCTTGCCATGCCTGGCAGGAGCGTTGGCAGGCTTCACACGATTTTTTTTTTTATAGAATAAAGGTGATAAACAAGAACACAGTCCACATGTATTGTAAAGGATGCTGTGGCCCATAGACATCTACATTTATCCTCGTCCAAGAATCAAAATGCAGATACATTGTCATCCCTGAGAATTAAGATGGTATGGCTAGATTCCACTTAAAAGGGCCTTTGGTTCTGGTTCTCTACACTCACCATACAAAACACAGCGGTATTACGCTGTTATTTTACGCTGGTATTCTGTGAGAGCATAGTCGACCCATTCGTGCTACAACCATAATATAGCTGCAGCGTGGCTCTGCCACGTAATCCCTCAGACGTATGGGCCAATCATTGTTTCCATTCAGGACTACGTGGTAAATCAGCAGCATTTAACAAGTATATTTGTGTCGATCGGGACTAGGGATTACATTTCGTCGCGTATGCGCGCTATGAAAGTACAAGGCCCACAACTCTGTTTTAAACAATAAAATAAATAAGATATAATACAAAAAGATTTTATAATATTTGGGTATTACGCAGTAAGTTATCTGGCACAGCAGTGTTGTCTAACAGAGCTGATATCGCGACGATGATATCGTGGCCAAACATTGCCGTGAAAATATTTCGTTTAAATGCCCCTCTTTAGATAATATCATTTAGAGATATTTTCTTCCATTTTTAGCACTGTTCATGAGATATATTAAGCATTATCATATTCGGCGAACACCAGTATTACGTCCCGATAGACAAATCAACAATTTTAACAGTATTAAAATGCATTTATATATGAATCAAGTCCGAGTCTAGGGAGTCTAAAGACTAACTTGGGTATTCAACAGATATATAATGGTCATATGTTACTGTAAATATATTACAGAAATAAGACAATGAACTGAGCATATTTTGAATATAAGTACTATTTTGTTTGGGTTTTTGCTCCGGGAAATGTCCCCAAGCTACTAATCATCACCGCTGATGATAAGAGGAATATTTGTCTTTTCATGAGAGACTACGGACTTCTATTTGGCACGTTCCTGACACATCTCTCTCGCCTTCTTTACATCCAAATACCTAAACGTACATGCTCGTCGGTTAGGCGTAAACTTAATTTGGCTCATCTACAATATATCTCTAATTTGGTCTATAAGCTACCATCTATGGTGTCCCTTGCCGATTCTACTATTCACCACTTATGTTTATATGGTTCGTACAGAACAACAATAGAGTAATCATCATCATTACAGGCTTTCACAAGTTCACCGCAGAACATAGGCCTCCCCCAAAGGAATACCACAAAGCAAATCACTTCATTCCTGAGCTACCTGCATCCATGACATCCTAATATCTTATCTTGCACAGTATATATTATCTTTATTATAATTTACCGGCGTTGTCGAACTCGCCGCAGTAGTTAGGAGCAGAGAACAGGGTGACGAGTTGTCGCTTGGCGAAGAACTCATAGCCGTCCTCCACAACCTGGTGAGCTCGGCAGATCAGGTCGAACTCGTGCTTCGACAGGAACTTGCCCACCACCTGGAAATGACATTTATCTTTAGATATTGACCAGTATAACACCTCTACATTTATTTGACGTTAACATATTCAACAAATATTGCTATAGCAGACTCGTTCGTGCTGCAACGTATTAAGGCACGTCAATTTGACCGTGGAAGGATCACGCTCGCACAGAAGAATACCAGCGTGAAATAGCAGCATAATGTTGATGTGTTCCGTATGGTGAGTCACGAGAGCCGAAGACACTTTTCACTGGTAACGAGGGTTGAATACGAGTTATGTTATGTGGTGTACGTGTGAAGAAATATGTTTGGATATATTATAAACATATTTCTTTGTGATGCTATCTTGTCCCTTATCTCGATCAGAGTATCCTAGGCTATTTTTTACTGTAATAATACCAATATGATGCGGATGAATGAAAATATTATGTATTATATTAGAAATAAAAAACAAGGTGTCCTTAAAGCGCATTCTGAGGAACAAGTCATTTAATAGATGTTGACTGACACACGGACACACCTGTTAGATTATCTGTTTTCAATATTGTAATATTCGTTACATAAGTTTTTTAACTAATGAAAAATTTGATCGCGAATCTATATTCTTGTTTGGAAAATCTTGAATCGCGACATCGCTTACCATCAAATCATGTTAATACGCATCGATCACGTTTCCAACGTTATCTGCAGTACAACGATAAACAAGTGTAATGTACTCTCCGCGCACACAAACATCAATATATTTGTGACATCGCCGCTTTGACTTTCAAACATGCGTCGCTGACATGACATTTCCGCACCGCTGTTTGTCAAACGCCTCGACTCTAGATAAAACAATAAATACGTTGACTGGCTTTTGCTTTTGATCGATTTAGGGCTGTAAATACTCGCTGTAAATTTCACAGTACGCGAGCAACCCGGGTTCTGTGGTTCATGAAATTGTTAATTGCAATTTTACTTGCTGATGATTTACCACGTGCTAGGTGGTGAAGCAAAACATCGTGAGGAAACCGGCATGTCTGAGAAATAAGAAAAAATATTTCGAAGAGATGTGAAGATCGCCAACACGCATTGGGTCAACGCGTCGGACATTTCCTTGCCCTAAAACCATCTCAGAAATGAGAGGAGGCCTATGCCCAGTAGTGGGACGTATTATAGGCTGTAATTTTAACTTTATTTTTTTAATCGTCGGTTAAAATTTATTCCATTACCATTGCAGCCTGTCAAAAGTCCACTGCTGAACAAAGGCCTCCCCCATAGGGGGGATGTTTTTCATAGTTGCCAAGCTTGCCACGCGGGTGTCAACGGCATTTTTTTTAGTTGTTATTAGGAAGACGCTACAGTCCATCTCCTAGTTTGTTCTCCTACGACACCCAAGGGATGATTTGGGTTTACAAAAAAGTGATTGATCAAATAAATAAGCTCTTAATAACGTGATTGAATATGAAAGTGAAACAATTTGTTCAAACAACTGCAATTTTTAAATTTGTGTATGTTGTATTTTATCCTATGAATAACTACGAATTTCTTTAAGATGTTTAAGTACCCTATTAAAACTGACAATGGTACGTAATTACGGGTTACAAAATTATAAAAAAAAAAACAAAGCGACCCCTTCCCGTTTCTGTGTGCGCCTCGCAACTAAATTTTGATTGTTAAGTTTGCTCCAGTACAAATAAGGTATCAAAGAAAAGAATGTGAAGGTTGGTTTACGCTAGAGAAGCCGAGCACGAGCTGAGCACAAGTTGAGCCGTTCTACTCGCGGTATCAAATGTGGACGTACAACGAGCCTACAACAATCACTCTCCTCGAAAGTTGTTTTCCGCAGTGTGCTCACGGCTCGTGGTGGATAGATATTTGCTATTGCAGCAACCGCTGCTGCTGCAGTGATTATTGTAGCTGAAGTCAGTGAAAAAAGCTAAAAGGCCAAGATGATGGGGATCTATAAATTTATAAAAAGACAGATCCAGTCAACAAAATCTAGATTTATTAACCACTTAAAGAGGTCAGGAAACAACTGGCCAAGTTAAGAATTTTGTTCGAATGACATCAACAAACTTTGAACTTTGGACGTGTTGAATGACAGATACGCACTGCGAGCGCGCGATGCAAATCCCTTTGTGTTCGACAAAAAATCCGACAATAGGCCGAGCACAGTCGAGCACGAACCAACCGCTCGTTCGAGGCTTGTAAGTCCGTCCACACAACACGAATTTGTGCTCGGTTCGTCTACGTAGTCGAGCACGAGCTTAAGCAGATAAATTTAATTGTATTATTATTATTAAAGTCGGCCACGCTTCTACCTTAATTAATTTGTCGTGTTGTATCCTTGTTTATTCATTCATGTTATGTATGATAAACAAACTTTAAAGCAACTAGATTAGATAAAAATATCTTATTCGGTGAAAAACTACGTCAGTTTATGCTGCAGCCCCTAAGACAATATTATTAATTCGTTTTATTTGTGAGATGAACCTTGAAAACTAATTAATATAAATGTTAACCCAACATGAGAAGTGATAAGTTTTTTCAAACTACCCTCCGATTTTATTATTAGCATTTTGAATATGGGTAGGAAAGGAGGAGTGCTCCGGTATTCTGGTACACTTGTGGCAGAATAATGTCCTACAATTGATTGAATCGATTCGAAATCGATATTTAGAGTTCTCGACAAGTTTTCTTTCATCCCACTGGTTAATAATTATATATATTTTTTTTTACAAAGACACATTTATTAATATTATAAACATAGCCGACCCTACCATAGGGCGAAGAGAGCGTTCCAGGCGTCAAGACCCAACAGTAAAGAAGAATAAAAGTTTTTTTTAGCTTTTCGATATTTTGATTGCTAGCAAGGACCCAGTGGTACAGAAAAATAAAGGATTTTTTTAGCATTATGATTGCGAGCGCGCGTGTATGGCTAGATATGGTATGTCATCAAAGTAATCTTGAAGTTTCCTTCCTTGCAAATGCAACTGGTATATTTTAGGAACACACGGATGGAGAGGGGGGGGGGGGGGGTTTAATTTAATTTAATTGGCTCTCGCTCCATCCTAAAATTGCCTTGAGTTGGCACTAATTTTAGCTTTATGTCGTTGTGCTTACAAAAGTTATTTTCAGTTTGCCGTAAACAAAAATAACTTTTGTAAGCACGACAAGAAAGGAAAACCGCATGACCAGTCTCTATTATATAAAAGTTATAACGTTAAAAACTAGATTATATCCATATTGGACCGAAAATAACTAGTAATACCACAAACAACGACTAGTCACGCAAAGTCTACATGTATATAGGTTTGAAGCACTTACACTAATCACTCAGATATGTAATCGACGGGTCGGGCTATTTAATAGGTTGACTGCGATTACGCTTGTTTGTTTTAAGTGGTATATCTTGCGTTTAGTTTACGTGTGAACGGTCCAAGATGGTATTTTGGCAGTCTGGTATTTTCTTATAGAATAACAGTGACCAAACGAGTGTATAGTCTGCATGATAGTAAATTGATGCTGTGACATGGGCATCACATTTATCCTCAAATAAGAATCAAAATGCAAATGTGTTGTCACCCTTGAGGACAAAGATGTAATGTCTCGTGTTTCCAGTAAAATGTGTCTCCGGTTCTCTACACTCAACATACGTAACACAGCAGTATTAAGCTGCTATTTTACACTGATATTGTGAGAGCGTGGTCTTACCCCGGTCGAACCGACCAATTCGTACTATGACCATAATATAGCTGCAGTGTGGCCACCAAACCACGTGTGTACCACGTAAAACAAATATAATGGATTTCCGCAAAGTAACGTCTGATTCTATAAATTATCACAAGCAAGTAAGTATCGAGAGTGAACTGACCTCTGTACCGAAGGTGAAGCTGACACCGCGGTCGTTCTCGCCCCAGCCGGCGACATCCTTGTCTGGGTCGGACCACAGCAGGTCGCACAACAGCCCCTGGTCCGGGACGTCCGTGGGCCGCATGATCCGCCGGATCTGCTCCATCGCCTGCAGGTCCGGCGACAGACCGCCGTGACAGCAGAATATCTTCTCGTCCACTGTAACAAGGATATATCAATTATATTATTTCGTATAGTATAGGTATCTTTTTATAAACGGTGATTTGGCAGCGTAAGAAAATTTTTCATCCTATTTCGTCTCTTGATGTCGGTATAAACATCTTGTTGACGCCAGACCTAAAGTATCCAGGCCGATGACGGATAGCAGTGTCAAATTTGCGAGAGGTCTGGTACTTAGGTCGTCCATTCATCTATATTAGTAGTATAGTTGTAGCACGAATGGGTCAGCTCGACCGGGGAAGGACCACGCTCTCACAGAATACAGCTTAACACTACTGTGTTTCGTATGGTGAGTGTAGAGAACCGGAGACCCTTTTTACTGAAAACGAGGCATTCCATCTTAGTCCTCACGGGTGACAACGTATCTGCATTTTGATTTGTGATCAAGGATAGATGTAGATGTCTATGGGCCACAGCATCCACTTACCATCAGGTGGACTGTGTGCTCGTTTGTCGCCCTTATCCTATAAGTAAATAAAACTCGCGGTTACAGCGATAAAGTCAAGTCTATTGACTATATCATTCACTAATTAGAAGAACCGATGTTTATTATATGCACATCCTGTAATCTGTATTTATCTACCGATATAGATATATTACGTTTATCTTCTGACACTGAATTCTAGCCAACCTACAATTGTATTGCATAGGAGTTATATAGGATAAACATAGGTTACAAGCTTTCATGTTCTGCTGTTTATGCTGCAGTTAACCATGGCTATATCTACCATAAAATACATTTACAATAAAAAAGATAAAAAATAAATAAGGGAATAAATTAAATCTAAAAATAAAATACGAAGCCTCATCGAACGTTTTGCGAACAATATCCTAAGGTGCGCCCCCGATGGCGATAATCCCATCATAGCCGATTGAACATAATACAATTAAGCCAGCGGGCTAAATTTGCCGTGTGCTGCCTGCCTAATGGGTATAGATTATCAATTAATGGACGTAATGTACTGAAGTGGAGTGTTCAGGATTATATTATGCGGGGTAGCCGATATAAGGATACGCGAAAAGCTGTTTAAATCAAATTCCACATATGTGTGTACAATTAATGTATTAATATGCAAGCGTATTTAATATGGAGATTCATAATTTTAATGATTTTATCAAAACATCAAGTATTAAAAATAATGAAACAATTTTAAGTTCCTGTATGGTAGATATTTGTGGTGTATTTAGATAATACACATATTATCACTTATTTCACCGTATACGAGCGGTTTAATAATATCCACTATCCATATCGTCCCGTGGGAGTCGTAAGAGGCGATAGCTGGAATCAAACCAGAAGATGGACACAGCGTCTTCCTAATAACAATGAAATAAAAAATGCGGTATTCAACCCGCCTGCCAAACCTGCCAACTATGGCGAATATCTCCTCTATGAAGCAATTTATGGAAGAGGCCTATTATTCAGCAGTGCTCTTGATAGGCTGTAACGGTTACATTTACATGTAAAATATCCTATTAAGTATAAATTTTTTGAGAACATTGGAATTTAATTAAATCAATACCTATTCAAATATCGTAGTATTAGGTATTATAATTTCTAATTTATTAGTCAGTTTTGCATAATTCATTAGACGATGTTGAGCCTACTTAACGTTAGTTAGGCAAAGGAGTTAAGACAATGTAAGTTATCTAGAAGGGGAGCACTCAGACGCTGGATAAGTGTCTACAAAGGTGAGTAGGGGTTATCGTTATCGGTTGCGTCGATGAGGCGCCGCTTTAAACACACGCCCCCCGACGCAGTTTCACGATAGCACTGCATTGTTGTTCGGTGATAAGTTACAGAAATTTGTTTTAAATTTTACACGAAATGTGCTATATTACAGACGTTTTTAGAGTATATTATTAGGTGCCAATACTACACCTTTTACTGCTGTGTTCCGATTTAAGGTGAAAACAGACCGGGCGTATGTGATGTCACTTACGTGATGTTACGTAAGTGACGTCCATCAGAAGACACCGGTTTTCATAGTAAATATATGACGTATCACTAATTAGAACTATTTATCTTATGTGACGTCGCTGACGCGACCAAATCCCACTCGACGTGTTATTGTCTGTGCATTAGATCGCGCGTATTTTTTTTTTTAACCAAGTAGAATAAAAACGCTAAGTTTAAAAAAATGTTCGAAGAGCTGTCACTAAAATTCATTCGACACTTCACTGACTGACTACGTGGCGTACGTAGGCTCTGTGTGTTCTGTCGCTGATGAGGATGATATTAGTTGGCGTGGCGTAGGGCTGTATGTGTTTAGCGTAACATTACATCACATGGCGTGGCATGACATCACATAATCGCAACCTATTTTTACATAAGCAAGCATTACATTACATTGTAGTAACTTTCTTTGTTTGATGATGACTCGTACGACGGCCGAGTACCGAGTACTCGGCCTTAATTATATACCAGAGAAAAATAAAGACAAAAAGCCAATTTTTATCATTATTATTATATTAGACACATTAAAACATCAGGAACATGAGAAGCAGCAGAAATATTTAGAACGTACATATGAATCTATAATAGAAATTATTATTACTAATATTTAAAATTTAAGAGAGAAAGACCAATAATTTTTCTAGATGTTTTCCGATAAAACGATTTCTATAAGCAGTCATTTTCGCGCCAGATAACGAAAACTATCTCTCGAACATGAACTCATGTTGTCTCATTTGACGAGTAATCAGTAATTACTCATCAACAGTATCCGTGGGTGTGTGACTGATCGAGTACCGATACAAGTACTTTTCTTTCGATACTACTTGGTACTAACTTTTAAAGTATCGATACCCAAAGTACTTGGTATGGAAAGAAAAGTATCGAGTAATTACTCGTTTTCGATTTTTCGTCGATTTCGACGGGACTTTCACTGGCAGATAGCTGACAGATGTTCTAAGGAGTAACTTGGCTACTGACATTTAAGCAAAAGAATTAGGGTTCTGAGCAATATAATTAAAACCCTAAATTACACGCGGGCGCAGTCGCAGGGAACACAGCTAGTTTATTATATAATTCTTCTGTCCGTGTGTATGTGACTGAACTCCTCCTAAACGACTGGACCGATTTTGATGAATATTTTGTGTGATTAAGTTGATGAGAGAATGGTTTAGATTCACAATTGGACCTGGTACGTGGCGTTATTGTCGAGATCCAGAAATCATCCGTGCGATGACGGGGCGGATCGCTAGTTTATCTAATGAAACGGTGAACTAGATAAATTATATTATTGTGATTAGGATAAACACTTGTACTTGTTTCACCAAACAAGTAAGTGTTTATTCAAATCACAAAAAATGAAGCTGGAGTTTCACCAAGTGACAACAATCGCGAGTATAAATTATAAAGAAAATTAAATTCGCATGGTTGCTGTACGGCCCATGAACGATTAAGTAAGTAGTTTAGTTTGAATACGTGGTACATCGACAACCATAAAGGTACCAGTCGAGTGTCTGATTGTTCGAAGGTCGAAGAAGGGAGATTACACTCTTCAAAATGTATTCTGTAGAATACCGAGGAGACTGGTTACCCTACTCCTGTGCTTGAAACTGACATGGATACCTTTAGCTGAATCGAAGTCACTGTTAAGCAAGTTAAGACACTTTTTGGATGAGTACAAAAAGCTACTAGATGGTTTAAACAAAAGGTAATACAGCAACACAACATATTTATTGAGAGATAAACAACCTTTTATAATATAATATAAAGTATTGGATGTATAAGGGGTAAAACACAATTATAAAGTCTAAACTGCTATTAACTCATGCAAAACACCCCGGGGTGCGATCCGATCAACTCGCGGTATATCTTGCACATCTAACGATTATAAAACTTCCCTAATTAGCGAATGTACTGCGAGGAACGAGGCTATTTATTACATTTACAGACAGCCGAAGCGATGCAAACTTTGTAATTGATTAAGTTAGGGTTCATTGTTGAATACTTGTTAATTAAATCTTTACACAAAGATCGTAAAACAAAAAACGACTAATATAAAATTAAGATTACGAAACTAATCTAGAAGCAGGAATTGAGTGACATCGGTGATTCAATATCGCGACGCACTAAAATAAACAAAAAACAAAACCACTCGAGGCGGTATTAATAGCGGCTCAGGATCAACAGCCGAGGCTATGACGTCAATGAGGCAGCTGGGCCACGCGGGCTACATATAACCGTAAACAATCCGACGGAAACTGATTGCCTCACCAGGCCGCATGCTCTCCAGCACGTGAGCGCTCGACGGTCAAGGAATTTGAAGCAAGTGTCCATTGACAGTTTACGAGTTGTTGCCTATTTTAAAAGTATGACGTAGTTACAAATCGCTGATACGTTATCTGTGATGCTGTTTCCAGGTGATAGCGAATACGAATGGGAAATTCCATTATAAACTCAATACACTGCGTTGCATTGAAATGAAAGTTACTTAATGTTTCAATTATTTAGCTATATTTTACATATTTTCGATATATTGAATCTAAATCATATAAGCCGTATATGTCGGCTATGCAGAATTTCGTAACCTTCATCTACGGGGCTTTTTTCATAGACCAGCGAAATTTAACAATTAAGTTCAAAATATTTGTATATTTTTCAAAATTGCAAACACTTTTTGCAGTTTTGAAAAATATGCGTAAATAAAGTTTCTACATTTATTTGAAAATATCCGAAATTGAATATAATTTATGGGCAACAAAGACGCGCGCTCGTGTGTTTACGAGTCAATACACGGAGCTTTTGCCTACTACGAGGGTGGATTGAAAAGTACTCGGCCTAACACAGATCCATTCAATTCTAAAAATCAAATCTAACCACATTATTTAGTTCAGTTCAGACTAGTTCATTGTGTGAAGTTCGAAACGTGTGCGATAATTAGTTGTGATTTTATAAATTTATTAACAAAGTAATCGGACATAATTTCCGCGAATGGAGCAAATCGAGCAGCGTGCCGTCATTAAGTACC